AGACCACATGTGCACAGACGCTAATGAACTTGCGTGTTTGCTTCAAGGAGCTGTACCTTTATTGAAGCTTTGCCTATTCTTTGGCGTGCTTTCAAGCTGAGGCTACTGTTCAAATGTGTGGACATTCAAAGGCTGCGCTGGGAGGCTTGGCGCTGCCAAGTACCTCGTGGAAGGAATAACAATCTCAGCAATTAGCAATCTCCCTTGAAACCCAGCCCTGACTCTCACGCTGTTGGAGGCAGGGAAAGGAGCTGTGCTCGAAGCAGCTCTCCTTGTGTGAGCTTTCGAGCAGCGGGAAATCAGAGGGACTGACTTGCTGATGTACAGGGGGTAGAAAAGCTGCTGGAACCGTGACAAGCACTGGCAAATCTTGGAAGCAGAGAAAGCCCAAAGCATCACTGTCCAATGGCTGTGACCAGAAGGATGTTCTAGCAAGCAGTGGCAGTGTGTAATTAATAGAAGGAAGGACAGAATAAAGAAACATGGAGAAAATAATATTAATCTTGGACTGAGCCTGCATATTACATATAAAAACAGCATTCATCTTTTCCTTTTAGAATAAGTGCAATATATTGAATATAACTTTCCTCTCAGCTGTGATGAAGTGTTTGGCACCTGGTGCAACACTATGAGTCTTCTAAGGAGGCCATCTATTTGGTTTCCATGGTTCTTGCAACTTGCCAGGGGATCACCTGGAAAGCAAAGTTATGGCATGGGTCTGTGTCAGTCTGCACAATGGGGGCATGAAACATTTACTCCACACAACCCTAACAGGAGTACTGGAGATCAGATTTTATGGTTGGATCCTCAATAACATTCTTATTAGGCGCTTTCCATACCTTTCTGTCTACTGTCCTGCATTTATGCATAGTCACACATGCAGAAATAAGTAGACTTAACTAAGCACAAGCTCAATTGCTGCATGGCTCTTCAGTTATATAGCACGAGAGCCTTCAGAAGTCTATGAAGGTCCCAGGGATTGTTGGTATTTCCATTGCAGAGCTGAAAGTGAGCTCTAGATTTGCCTCTGCATGGGGTGAAGAACACAGGCAATGCCAGCCGTGCTTCTACTGGTAATAACTACAGTGTCTCTGTTAGCTTTTGCTAATCTGCCCAGATGAGGGAGGACTGTCCAGTCTGACCTGCTGTCCTGCAGGAAGTAAGTGCTTCCTGTGAGGCCAGGTATTACTGTTTGTTAGTTAATAAGGAGAATAATAACTTTTGTTGGTGAAGTTTATAGATCTGGGACAATCTATAATAGTTGTTAATGATTTTTACAAATTAATATTGCTTTCTTTCTAGCTTGTGCTGCCTTTAGATTCAGTTCAATTCAGTTTGCTCCTTCCTTCCTCTAGGAAGTCAAATCTTTCTGCTGCCTGCAGTGGGGAAGGAAGGCAGGGGAGCCTGGCAGGCTCCTGGGGAGCTCAGGGCACTGAAATGTTCTTTCTTCGCATCAAGGATCAGGCTGTCATCCGCAGAAGAGCTATCAGCAGATGCAGAGTGTCCAGGCCCATTTATCTCTGCCAGATGGTGCTAAAATACAAGTCTGGAGCACATGTTGCTCTATTCAACAGAATGCTGTGCCATGCTGTGGCCTTGCTGCCTCTGAACCGGTGAGCCTCAGCCAGTGAAATCCCAGTTGGCTAAGGACCTAGCAGCCCTCGGCTAAGCCTCTGTGCATGGTTTGTGGGAGCTCAGAGAGACCCAGCTAGGAAGGCTCACAGCCCTGTGGGGACAGACAATAGCATGCTAGAAGAGAAGGTAGGGGTTAAAGAGAGCTTAGCACATACGAAAAAAAGGTAAATATTTGAGGCAGAAAAACAGAAAGAAAGAATAATGGAGAGAAAAACCGGAGAAGGAAGCAAAAAGTATTAAGACAAGGAAAAAGGAGGATGATATTCTGCCAGGAAACAAAGGGATAGTTATGTGAACAAAGCACTGGGGAAGCACTGGGGAAATGAGGGTTGAGCTCTGCACAAACTTTCTGTCTGACACCGGACAAGTCAATTCTCTCTGTCTCCATTTGCAAAGACTACAATGGGAATAATAAAGTCTCCTTTGTTCTGCCTCTCTCTGCTCACATCAGACGTCTCTTCTGTTTGCACGTTGTAGAAAGGCAAGAAGCTACTGTACTTCAAACAAAAAATTAAGTCAACTGAGGTTTGGGTGGGGGGGGGGGGAGGAAGAGAGGTAGGAAGGCAAATAGGCTGTGATAAACCCAGGAGATAAAATTTGAGAAAAAATAAAAGAAAAAAGAGATATATAGGAGAGGCCTTTATTAAGGGAAGAAGAAAGAATCAATATGAACCGGATTAATCCTACTGTGTTGCCTCTTGGACTGCAGTGGAGCTCCTCAAGGGGTGAGTTTAGCCTAAGGAGTTCAGTTTTGTTTGGTTAAAGAAACTGCATGCCAAAGTTTTTAAATAGTCAAATCTGTTCTGAGAACTATGAGAATGTGGGCTTTCGTGAAACGTTGCATGGGACTTGAGATGAACAACTCCCGCTGAAGGCAACAGGAGCCAAGTGATTAAGCCCCATGCAGTGCTCTGACAGGAGGCCTTCTTCTAGCCTACGCATACGTTTTTCAGTATCGAAAGTATTTCCATATTTCCAGCAGCTGATCTTTATTTGAAGCCAAAAGCACACTGCATTTTTTCAGATCAGAGTTAAAGCTTTTCTAGGAAGAGCAACTCTGGATCAGACCAGGGGTCCATGTAGTCCAAGACAGTATCTCCAACAGAGTCTACTGACCTCTGCTTGGAGAAAGAAATAGAGAAAAAAATCCTAAATCCTGTGAGGCTCATTCCAGGGATAATTTATATTTCACTCCAGGATTTAGCATTTGGCTTTCACTCCAAAGACTGAAGGCTTATATTCTTTCCAAAACTCTTGTTTGTTTTCTTAATCTTTTCTTAATCTTTACAGTTCCCTGGAGTTGTTTGCTGTTTACAGATCTGTGGCCCATTGGGGAAGCCCTATGAGCTGCTGACGGCATGTCCTGCAGCAGCAAGTTCCCTGGGCATTTGGGGCATTTGTGCAGGGAAAAAAAGAAAGATTTTCTTTTATTGGTTTGCTGCATTTAATGTGGAAACGTGCTTTAAGCTTCCCATCTCGCCCAGCTGGCTTCTCATTACAGCATCTCACCTAAAACTGTGAGATGCTTCTGCTGCACAGGGAATCCCTGCTAGGAGACGAGCTGTGCATTTGCAACGTTGATCTGCCCTGAAAAATGACTCAGCAGTGCTGAGCATGCACTTCTTAAATTTTTCAGTGTTTCCAAGTTTCCAAGAATACATTCTTCTGACAGCTACTCCTGCAAGCATGGTGTGCTTTCTTCTTGTGTGGGGACAGCATGCTAAGCCAGGACGTGGCAAAGATGTGAAATGCTGTGGGTTGGCTGAAATGTGGCACTGTGCTCTCTGCACCTCTGATTCTCTTCTGGTAAAGAAGTGATTGCAATGCCTAAGCTTCTTTACAGAGCACAGTTAGACTCGCAGGTGAAAGAGCAGGAAGGACACTGTTACATACACCCATGATTATGACAATGGTGAACCAGCAAACCAGTGCATGGATGAAGTGCCAGATATCCAGCCTGCCTTTCCATCACCCATCTGTCCTTTTCTGTTCATCTGCTGCAGAGGGACATGAGCTTTGTAAGGGCAGGAGAGCAGTGTCAGGCAAGATGCAAAGTATGGCCTTCATCTGTGTCCAGGAACGAACTGGCTAGGTGGCTGTATATCCAATGCTCTGTGGAAAAATTAGGTGGTGCTATGCAGACATGGCTTCAGATCCAGCACGCAAATAAACAAAACAACTGTATTAGAAACAGCTGGGGGTTAGGATGAAACTGAGCGTTATTAGGGATATGTCTGTAATAACTTATGTACTGGGTAATGCATTGTTGCTGTACTCAGCCCTCCTGGAGACAGATGCTGGAGACCATTGCTTTTGTAGCCCTCATTACAGCCATTGGTTTTCCTGTTCATATATCTCTTCTTCCAGTCCTACTGGAAAAGCTGACGGCATGCTCTGAGATGGAGCTGCCAACGTGTGGCTTTTGTCAGAAGCTGGAGTCATCTCAGAAGCAGTGGCCACAGATTGGACTGCAGTTCCAGAGCTGCTGCTCGAGTGAACGTGTACGCTGCCCAGAGCCAGGGCATTGCTTCAGATGCTGTTCTACCTTTGGGAATGTAACCCCTCATCCTGAGGGAAGTTCTGCAGATTTTGAGAGCTTTTGTGGATTCCCTGGTTGGAAAGAGGACTCAGTTTTCCAATTCCTCCACCTTTACTGTTTTCACCTGTCCTGGGGAATACTGAGAAAGCTGAAAATGTCTGCTGGTGGCACCATCCCCACTGGTGTCTGTCTTTGCCTCTCCTGCATACAGCCAGGGCACTGGGGCTGTTAGCAGCAAGCTGTCTGCCTGCAGCTCTGGATGTGATCATCTTTTAAAATCATAGAGCTTTCTCCTAGTTTCCATGTGTATTGCCTTTGTGAGATATACAGAAGTAGGAGAGTGCTTTAAGTTGCACCGAGCTCTCAGTGTAGCAGGATAAGTTAAATAGCAAAGTCTTGTTTCTTTAATGCAGAGTGTACAAAGTCTTGCTTACTTGAACACAGAAGGAATTGAGCAACTAAAATTCTAACACAAAATGCTCCTTAAAAATTCTCTTAGGACTGTGTTCCAAAGCCTACTCAAATGCATTCGCATCGATTTCACCTCCTTTTTATATCTCCCTCCATTTTATTAACCTTTCAGAACTTTTAAAGTAGTAAAATTCTCGAATTTGATGAAGTGAGATGAGTTGACTGTCTGTATTTCACAAGCATATCTCTTTCAATGCTAATGACATTAATTTATCAGCTGTAAGGGTCCAGCTCTCTGCTTTTATGTAAATTATAGACTTTTCCAGACTCACTTTAAGAAACATGTACAGTCCATGAAACTTGAGAAAATACATGCTTTCATCTAATCTGCCCTTCTTGTCTTCCTCTTTTGCAGGCTCATTCCGAAATGATGGCTTAAAAGCTGCTGATGTCCTTCCTATACTAAAGGAGAAAGTGGCCTTCGTATCAGGTGAGCGCATCCTTCCCAGCTCCCTCTATCCCAGCACAAGCACTGCCTGCTGCATGCTGGTCCTTATGGTGCACAAGGGACCGGTTTCACGTTTGGATGGCAGTACTTAAATTAAATCTTCTGCTAAAAAATATAAGGGCTATATGTGGAACAGGGCTACCCAGTAACACCCAGAGAGCAGGAAACTGGCCCACGGTGGTCTTCTTCATATTCTGAGAAACAGGTAAATGGGCAGGAGGCATAAAATACAGCTTTTCTGCTGCAGCCCAGACCTGGGCTGTTTCGGGACTTGGGATGGTTCAGGTCAGGGACCCAGCCCGAGTTCAGGGTCAGTGAATCACCAGTGTTTGTCTTGCTATCCCAGTCTGCTTGCAGTAGAAGTACCACTGATGCTATATTCACAGAGGGGAAGAGAACACGTGAACCAATTGCAAACTTGCATGAAGTCATTCAAACTGCATTATAAAAAGTGGGTATTTCCAGTGCCAGCATTTTTGCCAAGCGCAAGCCATTCAATCAGCTTTTGGTGATCTTGCCTAATGCAAGAAGAAAGTTAGCATCAAGCAGTCAGCCTGCTCTGCCCCGTTTGCTTTCACTGCTCCAGAGAGAAGAATGTCATCATAAAAACAGCGTACCTGCAGATCTGCCTGTGACATGAAGCTGAGGATGCAGAAGAGAGGATGGCTTCAGATGGAATATTTAATAACAACAGCCTGTCTCTATTGTTTATGTAGCCCCTTCCCTTATGGTGCCTGAGTTCATCTTAGAGCCAGGGCATCTCACATCAACCCATCAACTCATTACATGCTTTTCGGGTCCATAGTTGCCTTGCATGTGTGAAGGAGGGCTGAATGAGCTGTGCCAACACACCCTACGGTTTTCTCACCATGATCTGCAGCAGATGCAGGTCCTCATAGACTCACCATGCTCAAAATATACCTGTTCCTGGCCCAGCTCACTAGACAACAGCCCCAGCATTTCCACCTGCTCTCCAAGGTATCCAAATGCAATGGCTATGTGCAACAGGTATCTGGGGCCTCTGCAGATGGAATGTGCTGAGGCTCTGATGTATTACAATAGCCCCAGCATCACCCTCCAGCACAGAGTTTAACTGCTCCAACTTTCCCTGGTGGAAGCAGATGAAGACAAGAATTGGAGTGCTTCAGCTGATGGCTAGGTTCTTTTTAATTAAAATGGAATAACTTCCTAGAATATGCTTTGAGCACATCACAGAAAGTTTGCCAAAAACTAAAGAAAAATCAAATTGCTGAACTTTGTGAGAAAATATATATATATCTCCCAGCTGTAGTTAGCACAGAGTCTGTGAGCACATTGCATTTGCAGTCAGACTTCCTGGAGGAAAAACAGAGTTTTATTGAGTCTTCCTCAGAGTTTTACACTACAGTTAATTTTAACGATAAGAAAACAGTGAAGTTGTCAAGGAGTTCATCTTGTCCTTACACCAGCAGAATTTATCAGCACACAAAGCATTCTGCTGAACATCTCAGTTGCATGTTTTTTTTTTTTTTTCCTTCCCTTTTCTCATCTGCTCTAACTCACCCCCTTGTCTTTTCAGCCCTGACATGGCAGAGAACAAATGAGCTCAGGATGGCACAGCTGCACCGCTCTGTGTTTCAGCCTTGTGCACACCCCATACTTTAACTAGAACATGAGGAAAGCAGGCAGGTCACCTGCCCACACCACTGTGCAACCTCAGGGGCACGCTCAAGCTTGCAGAAGTGCACTTAAATTGCAAATTGAAATACAGCTCTAACTAGCTGGGCACAGATTCACCCACCCTGAATTATGTCTGGGGCTCAGTGCTGGTGCTGTCTCCTTGCTGGCTTAGTCAGTGGCAGGCACAGAGCTTTGCATTAGCATCACTGCACCAAGGGAGGATTTAGAGATGGATAACGGTGCAGTTTTCTTCCTGAAACTTGTTCTTGACTTCTTCCAGTGATCCCGCTGGACTGAACTCAAGGAAAGTCCATATGTCTGTATATCTAAATAGCACCTGAAAATCCCATTCCAGCTCTAATAAGCATAAAGAGAGCCTGAGCAGTCACAGTGCATCCCAGCCATCGCAGTCTGATCGTTTCCATCACTGGTCTTGTTGCAGCAGATTAAGCCAGGGGCAGGAGGAGGCTTTGGCCACCTGCTTGTTATCTAAACCCTGATAAAATCTTGGCTTTGCCTGTGTGGTTCACTGTGTCGCTTCCAGCAATGCAATGGCTTTGGGAACCATTAGGGAGCCAGCTACAATCCAAAGGCTGATTTTTATATTCTGAGGAGGAGATGAGCACAGAAGAAAGGAAATAAAACAGGTTGTAGATTATTTTGGTGGATTTTTTTCAGTGAGAGGTGGTGAAAGTGATATTTTGGAAGCTGTGGCTTCAGCCTTTCCTGGGAAACACAGATGCTGCTTTGGAAGGAAGGTTAAACTTGGGATGCTGTTCAGCTGCTTGATTGTATTCTTAGGAGATTTTCTGTTGTCAGTGCAGCATAGAAGGAAGTGGATGAGACCCTCAGGAGAGGGTGGGGAACATGTTACCATGTTGGAGTTTCTCATACACTTAGGCTGTGAAAAGATTTTTAGTCCCTTAATGCGGGGGGACGTGCTGAAACTATTTGCCCTTTCCTTACATCCCACCCAGAAGAGTTTTGCAGGATCTCTCCCAGCACTTTCTGAGAGGGTGGGTGAGCATGGAAGAATCAGCAGCAAAAGGCAGAAGGGCGTAATAATTTGGTGATTTGGTGACAGGGGCACAGTGATATCTGAGCCTGAAGGGAAAACAGAGATTTCCCAAAAGGTCCTTCCAAGGGAGAAGTTCAGTGTAAATAGATCAGATGAAAGGACAACTTTGCAATTAGGTTTTGCTAAATTTAGGCTGGCAGGATGAATCCAAAATAAAAGCTTAGAGATAATTTTATTTCTGAGACTGGAGTCTGGGAAAAGTTTGCTCTGAGGTAAAGACTGGGGGGAGAAGGGGAGACAGTGACCCTCTCAAAAACCACATGTCTCAAGTCACAACAGGTCTCTTAGTGCCAGAAATGCGATCTCGAGGCCCTCTGGGTACTGGAAGAGTTCAGATCCAGGTTTCAGGAGGTCCCCAGTGCTGATATGTGGACACTGGAATTTGTATTGGGAATGGAACTAACCAAAATATTTAAATTTTGAATGATGTAAACATTTTGTGTTTGCACAGATAGTTTTGATTCAAATTTTATTGGTTTCTATTCTCCTCTTCCTCTGGAGTGGAAATTTCAAATGAAACATCAACAATTCTTCTATATTTTGTTAGAAAAAAACATCATCTTGTTTATACCATTCCCTGACATAGTTTGAAATCAAGGGAAATTCCAAAAAGAGGAAATATGCTATTAGAAATACATAACACTGCTTGACTATTGAATTCTCCTCATGGTTTTAGTTCATCATTCTTTCATCTAGAATTTGCTGCTGCATTGATGCAGATATTTCTTTGAAAAAGAAAATGAGGAAGTTTAGACTGTAAACTTTCCATGTCTTTTTATGAGATCTGAGGCTGCATGTTTGTTTAGGTTGGTTTTGTTTCTTTTGCTTTTTAAAACGTTAGGTCATTTGTGAGGACAGAGAAGAGCCTTTTCCTAAGGGGACTGTATAGTTATCATCATCAGGACTCTAAGATTAGAGAAGAAATCAAAAAGTTCTGTGGGATTTCTGATTTCACTTACAGGTTGTGATGATACACAGCTAACACATTGCTAGTATGCAGAATTATTTTTTCCATAAGTCTTAACCATAGCAGTGGACTACATGAAGTGATTTCTGTGGAAAGTGTGTAGTCTTTGCGAGCTCTTACTGTCCTGACTCACCAGGATCCACCACCATCTCCTTACAGCAGGGATATTTCTCTGAAAATCAACCCAATCACAATACTTATCTGAAAAGGCCCATAAAAACTTATGGGATGTAAATAACACTGTGAGTACAAGACACACTGGGCTCCTGACCATGTCCTTGAACAGAGCACATATGCCCCCGCATTCAGTCATGTGGGTTTAGCTTTTAAATTGATGATAAGGACTTTTGAAATAACAATAAGAGGAAGGAACTAAGCCCATGAAGCAAGAAGGTCTGTATACATCCCATCCTGTTCCAGCTCACAGGGCTTTCTACTCCCAAAAGACACAGTGAGCTCCATATGTTTCACAGCAAAGGTCTCTTCTTCATTTACACAGGCAGGTAAGAGATGTCCTTATGTAGAAATGCAGCTTGGGAGTCTATAAATCAACACAAAGAAACAGGGAGGCAACTGTAGCATCTGAGATAATTAATATGGTAACAACCAAATGTTTTTGTCATTTTGCAGTAGGGTGTGCACTTATATCCCACTGATAAGACTCATCTCCTCTGAAAACATTCTTATTTCTGTTAAAGTACTTTGGTTCATAGGCTTATGGTGTTATTTTGTGTTTTTTTTGTTTTTTTTTTTAATTTATTTTTCCCTTAGGAATCAGTTTTAATGTACAAGCAGCACTGAAATTCACAATTGGCTATCCCCTCTGTCTTAGAAAATGGCTGTTTTTTTAATATATTTCTCTGTAGGAAAATATAGGGTAATTGAAGTGGAAATACCCTTCTGAAATGTGCCATTTCAGAAACATTTTTGTCTGATGCTGTTTTCCAACTCTAGGTCAAATTTCTTCTTTAAGCCAGAGAAGAAAAAGACTTCCTCGTAGCAATTATTAAGCCTGATAGCTTGAACTTTCCCCTGAACTTTCATTAGCTTGCAGGAGCCTCTGCTTGACTGCAGCTGCTGAGGACTTCTCTGCAGTGACGTGGCAAACGTGAGCAGTCAGTTGTGTTGAATCCATTCATTAAATGATTCAATTTGCTGATGTGACATCAGAAACTTTGCCACTGCTATGTTTCTGTCCTCACCTCAAATCAGGAAGACAAATATTGTATGATCAGAATGAATGTAGTCTGCCTTTGCTTCTTGCTCTGTACTGAAATG